AGTATTTGGGCATTTACTCAATAACTATTCCATGCATGCAGACAATAACATCAATATAAAACAGCGTGCAAACATTTTGGCCAAGATTGTATAATTTAGTTATTTGAACAATGAGTTAGACTTAATCCTGTACATTTTTTTTATTTCATGATAACATCAAAGTGTGCTGATTCCAAAATGTTATTTTAATGTCAAATTAACAACCTCTTCTGTTCTTAGTATATATTTCATAACAGTAAGAATGTTTACAGTCATACCTGTACAAGCTTTCATAAAAAAAAAAAAAACATTGTATAATCTTCATCTGCTGTACAGCGCTGCCTTTAGCTCAGTATTTGAGTTTTTAGATAATAAAGAAAGATCTCAATCTAATTGTTTTTATTCTTCTTCGGACTGTAATATCTTCATATCAATAGCAAGGATAAAGTCAGTTGCTTAATTTCCGAACTCTCCGTGTGTAGATTCTCAAATTCCTGTCAACTTAACAGCCCGAAAAACAAAACAGACACGTGATGTATTTTAACTATATCTGAAGAACAATACAAGCACGTACATTTCTGTTTACTTCCGCAAAAGTAAGGCCACTACCCTCACCAATTGACCTATCTTATTATGTGACCCTTGACACCGTAAAAGGGCGACGACCTTTTAGAATTTGTTTAAAAGCGTGTGTGTATCCATAATTAGTTAGATTGAAGAAAGTTTGGAGCAAGACCTTCAGTAACAATAGAGTTGAATGGTAACACATGTAAAGATCAGCTAAAAGAAGAAGCAGAGGTGAGTGGTTAATCATGTAAAGTTCATTCAAAAGAAGAAGCAGAGGTGAGTGGTTAATCACGTAAAGTTCAGTCAAAAGAAGAAGCAGAGGTGAGTGGTTAATCATGTAAAGATCAGTCAAAAGAAGAAGCAGAGGTGAGTCGTTAATCATGTAAAGATCAGCTAAAAGAAGAAGCAGAGGTGAGTGGTTAATCATGTAAAGTTCAGTCAAAAGAAGAAGCAGAGGTGAGTCGTTAATCATGTAAAGATCAGTCAAAAGAAGAAGCAGAGGTGAGTGGTTAATCATGTAAAGATCAGGTAAAAGAAGAAGCAGAGGTGAGTCGTTAATCGTGTAAATATCAGGTAAAAGAAGAAGCAGAGGTGAGTCGTTAATCATGTAAAGATCAGCTAAAAGAAGCAGAGGTGAGTGGTTAATCATGTAAAGATCAGCTAAAAGAAGAAGCAGAGGTGAGTGGTTAATCATGTATAGATCAGAATAAAGAATAGTTAAAGTTAAGCGGTAACACAGGTTCTTATGCTACTGTTCGTGCCCCCTAGTGGCAGACTTACAACGCTAAAAACCGGGCATAGATTGCCCACTGTGTAGCTTTGTGCTTAACTACAAACTAACAAACAAGCTATTGTTCGTGATATGTGTAATCTAAGTACCATATACGACTTAACAATGGCTATGTGTAAACTAAATACAGGTTAGAAGTGAACAATGACAATGTGTAAACTAAATACGGGTTAGAAGTGAACAATGACAATGTGTAAACTAAATACAGGTTAGAAGTGAACAATGACAATGTGTAAACTAAATACAGGATTAGAAGTGAACAATGACAATGTGTGAACTAAATACGGTTAGAAGTGAACAATGACAATGTGTGAGCTAAATACAGGTTAGAAGTGAACAATGACAATGTGTGAACTAAATACAGGTTAGAAGTGAACAATGACTATGTATGAACTAAATATGGGTTAGAAGTGAACAATGACAATGCGAATTGTGTGAACGAGGAAATTACAAAGTGTAAAAGAAAACAGACAAGGTGAAATACTCGCCAAATTAAAATATGTTTATTGACGAATATGAAAATTACGTTTTGGGCAACAGCCCTTCATTGGATTAGCAGTGAGAAGAAAACGACTTTTAGAGGAGACAGTATTTAAGAAAAAAAAAATAGAACGCGTGGCTCGAGAACATATCTTTAATCTATAAAAGAACACAGAAAGGTATGAGAAGAAACATACACACAAAATAACAATGATGATAATTAGTTGGGTAAAAATAATGAAAAAAGAAGAAATTATAATGATAGTAATATATTAAACTAAGTAAGTAAATAAAACAAGTAAAAAATTAGTAGAACATGCATAAATAAACAAATTGGTGAGATGTACAAACAATAAGGGAATGAATACGTGAATCGAGTAATATTATTCAGTGAGATATAACAATGGAATATAAAATCATGAAAAAAGACAGTAAATTTGAGTTGTAACTTATAAAGCTGTAATAAATAAAGATTACAAATTCAGTTTAGAAAATAGTTTGATACAACATTAAATGATCGATCTAGTGAATAACTAGAAGAACGCGTTAATTTAACAAAATTGTTAAGCAAAATTAAGACTGTCATGTAAGACTACAGATCAGGTATAAGGAAAATATTCCGCACCTAAATTTCTTCCACTACTAAAGTGTTCCATATTTAAATTTTTGCTATTATTAAAATTGTCGATACATTTATGTTTTCCATCAGTAAAATTTCAATACCTCTATGTTTGTCACTACAAAAATATTAGGAGTAGGTACATGAAAAATCTAATCAAGAGAAAAAAAAACTGTGTTTCACTGACATATAGTATACACGAGGCACTATTTTCACAAATAGTATGCGTGAGATACTTGTCAAACGGAGCTGCTTAGGATAGATGAAATATTCCATTATGGTGTTTGAATGAGTCCCTCTTTGAGTTCTTGCCAGATGGAGATGGTTATGACATATTAATGTTCTACACTAGTGTTTGAATGAGTCCCTCTTTGAATTCTTGCCAGATGGAGATGGTTATGACATATTAATGTTCTACACTAGTGTTTGAATGAGCCCCTCTGATCAGGTCCTGTTCAATATATATATATATATATACTGTTGGTTCTCGAATATGTCAAACGTTCCTGGACAATAATAATAATCTCATACTAGGAGATAAACTCGTGCTTCATGTACAATGTATATACTAAAATGACTTAATTACTGAAACTTAGTTTTGGAAAAAATGCATATAGGTGGAATTGAATCATTGACCTCTCGCATACGAAGCGTATGCTGTGCTAAATGTTTCTTTTTCAAACATGCAGCATTATTAAGTGGAATACTATACATAAGAGAAGGGTATATGTTTTAAATATATAAATAATGCTGTGTTTGTGTTATGTAGTTGGACATGAATGAAATAAAACTTACTAAAAAGAGTTATTGTATTTAAATTTCAAGTAAAGAAGTGTTATAATATGGAATGACTATAAATGAAATATATCTCTGTATACAACATTTTCATATAAACACCTTGTCTTTGTGAAAAATGCCATCTTTGTCTAAAAGCTTAAGATTTTTTTCTTGATCGAACTCTTGATAAAGCATCATTATAAAATAGTGAATTTTAAAAAAAAATATGGTATCGATCATTGTAAAAACTGTCCTTTTTTGTCGCTATTTCACTTATTTTTATTCCCATAGTGGTATAAACTCTCTTTTACTCTTTGCTAAAGCATTAACAAAGCGTTGGGTCCACTACCACTGATCACTTTAGGCCTAATTGTCGTTTTTTAGGCGCCTGTGTTGAGATAGTTGAAAACGTATAATAGTTATAAAATAGTGAACTTTTAAAATTATGGTATCAAAAAATGTAAAACTCAGTTGATTTCATTTGTCGCTATTTAATTTCTTTTTCCTTCCATAATAGTATCAACTCTGTTTTACTCTCTCCTAAAGGCTAAAGTATTAACAAAACGTCGAGTCCATTACCATTAATAACATAAATGGTGTAACATTTTAATCCTCTAGCCCGCTCCCCAGTAGCACAGAAGTATAACTGCGGACTTAAAACGCTCGAAACCGAGCACAGATAGCCAGCCCATTGTGTAGCTTTGTGCTAACTTCAAACAAACGAAATATCCCCTAGCGGATAAACTCGTTCTTTGCGCACAAAGCGTATTTAAACTTTTGACCTAGGCCTAATTGTCGATTTTAGGTGCTTGTTGAAATTTGTATTGAGATTTAATGGTATTTCATTATTTATTTTTTAAATCAAAGTATTTCCTACAGTCGTGATAATTATACTTTGGGTTTTGTTGAACGTAAATAGCGCATTGAGAAATATCGTGCTGCTTGTACATTTTATTCTTTATGCTACAAATAATGGCTGGAGACGGCTTGAATGGGTAATGAAGAAAAACTTTAATATAAGTTTAACATAACAGCAAATGTACAACGTTTCGACAAGGTTTTGTCAAAACCCATTCAAGCCGTCTCCAGCCATTATTAGTCTCAAAGTGGGTTCCTCGTCATCGAATTTTATGCTACAAAGCAAAAATTTGAGCTTATCAGACGTAAGACGCATTATCACAGAAGCTGTTGCGAAAACGTGCTGAAAACGTTTCTTAACAAGAGAACTCAACCATTACTGAAGCAGAAATCTGAAATGATTAAACACATGAATATTAAGGTTGTGAAACCACGTTGCCGGAGACATTTGTAAACAGAGATCGTATCATTAACTGAATCCAGTCATGATTCTTGATAGGTTTGTATATTGAGTCTTCTTCGTGTTGTATCTCGCTGTATTTATATCAGCAGTTTTAAAACCACAAGAAGGATGAAACACTCTCAGGTGGAAGAAAAATGTTAGTAGACTGCTGAAAATATTTAGCATTCTACTTTTAGCTGTGATTGAACCGTGTTATGTGTATCTTAAAAATAGAGTGTTGCAGCTAGCAACTGTCTTATTCTATGTATCGTTCTACAGCATATCTCCATCCTTTCGCTCCTCATGTTAATAGTGTATATCTATGTCTGAATCATGTTGTATCTTTATAAAATCAGAGATGATTTGCCTTTTATGACTAGATACGAAATTTTATACAGATTTTCTTTAAACAGATCAGAATGGGAAAACCCTCGGTTGCGCTGCTCCTATTGGTTGTTTACGGAATCTCACCAGTTTTTTCAAGTATAATGAATTTTTCAACTTACTATCTGGGATTTGACCAAACTGTTCTTCTTAAGGATAAAAGCTGGCCAGCATTTATCCTAGTTAAACTAACGAAAAGTGGACTTGGCTTTGAAGGAAATCTAACATGTGCTATATTTACAGGACCGTGAGTACCTTACATAGAAAACGATCTGCACTTTGTCATGAAACGTTACTATTTAACTTATTTTCGTAAAGTAATATAATGGAATAACAAAACAATATCTTTTGATTAGTTTTAGCGAATTTTATCATTTTATTAGCTTCTTATAATACTTGTAATCAACACTGCAAAGATAATCTTATTATATTCACTAAATCCTATAAATAATTTAAAAATCTTAGTAATTTCTGACAATGGGTTTGCACAAAGTATTGTTGTATGTCAGCTTCAAAAGTAGGTTCATGCTAACCTTCATGCCTTTAGCAACTTTTACAGATAAGCTCTAGTTAATCCTATTATCAGATCTGGATTGTCTTTATTAAATCCTAAAAAATAATGCTAGGAAATATCCATGTTTTAGTTTCTTCTGAGAACAAATCCCTAGATAAAATTATGTTATTTTCCAGTTTAGGGAAATATATCCTAATTCACCTTTTTATTATTCTATAGATAATCGTATCATTAGTTTTTTTTTTGAAACATGTTGCCTGTGTTGTATATAAACTCAAGTAACCAACAAAATTTCAGATTTTCGGTACAACTTATTATCTTGTATTGTTTTAAGTAACACGATAGAAGAGGTTCTTCGAGATGTTCAGGATAACTCCTTAAAATTGGTGTCCCACGACAATTTAACAAAGATACTACTTCGCTGTGATGAAGCCGGCTCTTTCGATATCTCACATCGACAACAGACCAAAACATCGTACATTTGGCCAGGTAGGGGGCACTAACTACAGTTAGAGGAGTAATCATGTTACACGTATCTGAGGGTACATACGTGGTTGGTCAAACAGTTTTATGTTGGGTTTATGATGCTCGCGATGTTTTACTTTTAGGCAGTTTTTAGAGTCAAGTTACAATTTCCCCAATAACAAGATAAAAATTTAAATATTTGTGTTCGCGGATAGTTTCATTTAGTAAATAGGTAAACAAAACAGATAGATCTATTTATGTTTTCTAACTCTATTTGTTCACATCCTCAGGAACCAAGTGGTGTGGGTCTGGAGACGTGGCTGAGGACCCCCAAGATCTAGGAGAAGAGAAGGAGACAGACCGCTGTTGCATGAAACATGATCTCTGTAAAGAGTATATTGCTGGTGGGGAAACAAAATACGGTTTAAAGAACCCTACGTCTTATACAAGGTAAGATTAGCTTGATAAAAGAGGTAGTTATTTTATGTGTATTACAGAAAGGCGTTGAATAACAGAATTTTACTTACCAAGCGTTTTACGATTTCTTAGGTTCCATCTCAGAACGTGCACTATAAGTTCACAACCCGTTGGTCTAGAGCAGGGGTCACCAAGCTTTTTTCACAGCGGGCCAGATAACTGAGAGAATGACGAGCGCGGGCCGCATAACCATTTT